TTTGTTTAATCTGCAAGTGAACAAGAAGCCCTTGCTAAAGTGTCTCAATATTACCCATGACACACTCTGTAACCCACTTGTGATAAAGTGGTATGCTGGAGCCAGATAATACTGACTCGTGGAAACTAATTGTTAAATGTTTTGGAGTTTTGTGAATGATTATTAAATGGTTGATAGCTTGAAGTTCACCATAGTGAGATAGGAACATTTCCAGCAAACAAACAAACTAGTTGTGCTTGTTTGTTTGTATGTTTGCTTTCAGGGATTTGCTTGTCAAACATTTGCCAGACCACCCTGCACTTGCCCCTCTGAACTTTTAAATTCTGTTTTTCTGAATTCATTGTTTTGTTTTTACTGCAGTATATATTACCTTGGATCATAAGATAGGCAGTTATCACGTGCCTCTGTTCGAAGACCTGAGACGTTTGCAAGGCAGCCCTGACTATCCAAACATGCCTCATAACCCGGCAAGTTCAGAGTATGCTCCTTCATGGGGAGCTCAGACCTTCTCCTCTGGCAAACATTACTGGGAGGTAGATGTGGGAAACTCTTGTAATTGGGTTGTAGGACTTTGCAGAGAATCCTGGACAAGGAGGAATGACATGCGACTTGACTCTGAGGGCATCTTTCTACTTCTTTGTGTCAAGGTGGATGACCATTTCAATCTCTTCTCTACTTCCCCATTATTACCTCACTATATTCAAAGGCCTCAGGGCTTCTTAGGGGTGTTTCTGGATTATGAATGTGGTACAGTAAGCTTTATTAATGTTGCCCAAAGTTCCCTCATTTGTAGTTTTCTCTCATGTTTCTTCTGTTTCCCTCTCAGACCTTTCATTTGTTATGGACCCAAATGATCAGGGTCAGGTCGCACACCTGACCAAGGTGATGGGAATTCTAATAGTGAAGGAGTTTCCTATCCTGGTGACTTCTTTAATGGGGGAATCAGTTATACTTCATTAACTTCATTTTACCTTCAGGAGATATAATAATTTTACCATTTTTTAAAGTGTTGATAATGTTAAGTATGTGCATTCGTCTTTTCTATTTTATTTAAATAAAAGCAATATCTTTTATTACATTGTGAAGGATGTGTGCTCTTTTAACTATCTGAGTTAGCTAGTGCTGCTTTGTGTTGCTTCGCTCCCCACGGATTTGTCGCCCCACTTCCCCTGGGTGATGGAGATGCAAAGAATTACTCAAAGCCCATCTCTTCTGAGCAGTGAGAGGCCCCGAAGTGGTTAATCTCCCACCAGAACCCTCAAGCGAGAGCCATCCCTTCCTTGGGAAATTAATGCCAAATTGGGGTTCTCTTCCTGCATTTATTTTCCAGACTAGGAAGTTGCAGGAAGATAACAAAGGTGGGGTTATAGTTTAACAATATAGGCTGGTAACTTTCAGTGAAACAAGCCAGATGACATTCCAGTCAGGCTATCAACAAAAGCTTTGATCTTAACAAACATTCCTTCTCCCTCTAGCAGTTTCCCAGTATCTTTACATAACTATCAGTAACTAGTCTGTCTTTGAGCCAGCAACTTGCTGTGCCACAATTCTTTATCTTACACTGGAGACTTATAGCCCAAGGAAAATTTCCTGTCCTTGCAA